AGAGAGAGAGAGAGAGAGAGAGAGAGAGAGAGAGAGTTATATATAGAGAGTTAACGGATTAACGGAGTTGGAAGGGACCTTATAGTTCATCTAGTCCAACCCCCTGCCCAAGCAGGAGACCCTACACCATTTCTGACAAATGGCAGTCCAGTCTCTTCTTGAAAGAAGAGAACTCCCACACCTTCCGAAGGTAACTTCTGTTCCGTTGGTTGATTGTTCTCACTGTCAGAAAGTCCCTCCTTATTACTTAGTGGTATTTGCTCTCTCTTTGCTCTCTCTCTCTCTCTCTCAATCTTTCTCCCTACCCACAGCACTTTTCTATCCATCTCCCCAAAACCACCAGGCAGGCAAAATCACATCTGGATGGTTTCCATGCTGAAGGACGAACAAGGTTAAGAAGTTGCTGAAATGGCTAAATTGACTCCTTTAATCAGAGGGGGGAAAAGACAATATCTCAGTTTATTGCTGACCGAAATCCCTTCTAGCCTTTTTTTTTTACTGTGAAAAACAGAAATGAATGAACTTGTGATTTATGGTTAGGATGATTAGACAGGATAGATTTTTAAAAGGAGAGGGATGTTGTAACCATGGAGGAAGAGATAAATTGATAATTGGACTTATAATTGACATAAAGAATACATACTACTCCTTTGTAGCTTTTCTCCTTTTTCTTTCTTTTTTCCTCTTCTTTGCCCTTTGAGCTTTCTTTTCCTTTTCTTTTTTCTGCCTACATAATTAATTTATATTGTCTTTCAATCTTACTCTCGAAAAACACCTTTAATAAAAATTATATACATAAAGAATGAAGGACAGCCAAGGTTAAGGAACAGCTAAATTTGCAGTGCAACCCAAGTGTATAGAATCCTCTTCCCCAAAACATGTATTTTTGGCAGGTGAGCAGTGCGATGTTGTATTATTTATGAGAGGTTACCAGAAGAAGAAGAAGAAGAAAATACGTATTTTTTTTTTCCACCCAGGGCTTGCTCTAGTTTTACCGCCCTATTTACTGGAACAATGCTTCTCTATTTAGGAGCTTGGTGGCCTTCAGGGATGAGCACCTATAAATCTAAAATGTCCTTTTAGAATAATATTAACAATCGCACAAGGACAACAGCGGTAGTTCACCTGCTCAGCTGGCAGTAGAGATTTGGAAAATGGTGGACCGTTGCCAAGGAATACTGAAGGTTTGGCATCTTCTCTCTCTCTGGTTCTCTCTCTCCCTCTCTCTCTCTCTTTCTCTTTCTCTCCCTCTCTCTGGTTCTCTCTCTCTCTCCCTCTCCCCCTCTCTTTTTCTCTCTCCCTCTCTCTGGTTCTGTGAGTGTGTTGTTCCCATTTACCCAATTCTATTTCTCAGAAGGTTGTTTCTTCTGTTTGGAAACTTTAGGGGATCTTGGTGGGCATGAGTCTCTATGATGGGAAGTGTATTGTCAGAGTAAGATTATGGCAGAGTAAGATTATGGAAGATGTTGACGAAGAGGAGGAAGGGGGCTGAAAGAGGGGAGTTGAAGTAGGAGAATAATATTGGGAGGGGGAGAAGGGAAAAGCTAGGGAAGGAACAGAAGGGAAAGGGATTAGGTGAATGGGGAAAGGAAGAAAAGGGATGAATGGGGAAAGGAAGGGAAGGAAGAAATGGGGAAGAGAAAAAAGGAAAGGGTTCAATGGGGAAAGGAAGGAATGGGGAAAGGAAGGAGAAAAAAGTAAGGAAGGGATAGAGGAAGGAAGGGCAATGGAGGGAGGGAGGAAAGAAGGAAGGGAGGAAAGAAAGAAAGGAGGGAAGAAAATGAAATGAAGTGGAAGGGGGCAAGGAAGAAATAGACATTAACACACTGCCTGATACTCCATTTGGCTGCCTGTAGTTTCCTGTGGGCCTTTGAAACACTCCCAATGAACTAGATTCTGCATTCACCTACGGCTCTTCCAAGTATCAATGGAGAAGTAACCACTTATGCTTTAGAAAGAAATGTGCTCAGGTGGGACACTGGAGGCCCAGCTGGAGAAAAGGAACTTCAGGTGTGAGGCTGCTACCTGCTTTTCCGCTTGAAGCACTTCGTGGGCGATTGCCGTAGCGAAGATGGCTCTATTGCTCCCGGAGCTCAGCTGTAAGGAGAGTGAGAGGCCCGATACCAGCTGGACGCCCAAGTCAGTGATGGTCACCTTCTCATCCAGGACTGTCACCGTCTTCTCCGCCAAGATGGCATCGGAAAGTGGGGACAGGATCTGCAGGAGGAAACCAAAGGGACAGCTCATCTCTACACTCCGAGGAAATCCCTTTTCCAAACAGTCTATGTGTGCCTCACTTTTATCTATGTAGAGAGCCTTTATTTCTTGATTTCCCCCCAGAAATCACCACATTGTTAATCAGATTGCATCCCTCTAAATCAACAACGATATGTTACAAAGAGGGATTGACTTGGGAGTTAAGTTTCAGGAAATGGGGATTGGGAAGGAAAGAAGGAAAGGCAGGTGGGAGGGAGGGGGGAAAGGAGGAGGAAAATGGGAGGGAAGGAAGGAAGAGAAGAAAATAAGAGAAGAAAAAGAAGAAAAGAAAGAAAAGAAAAAGAAGGAAAGAAAAGGAAAAAGAAGGGAGGATGGGAAGAGAGCAAGAAAGGAAAAATAAGGAAAGGGGGGAAGGAAGAAGAAGGGAGAATGGAGAGAGAAAGAAAAAGAAGAAAAGGAAGGAAGGAAGGAGAAAAGAGTGGAAGGAGAGATTTGTTGGAAAAAAGGAGGAAAATGAGAGGGAGGGAGGAAAGGAAAGAGAAAAGGGAAAGAAGAGATAGGTTGGGAAAAAGAAGGAAAATGGGAGGGAGGGAGGGAAAAAAGGACAAAGGCTACCAGGGAACAATCTGTTCAAGGTGAGATGATCAGATGCATTCATCTTATTTTGTTTTCACACTGAAACCTCTAAAACACGTTCATCATGAATACACCTTCTCCAAAATCACACATTTCTACTTGTATTTTTCCTCAACAGATAAATCTCTAAACACACCTTATCTCCAAAACCATCCATCTCCCCCCGCGCTCTCTCAGAATGAGAAAAAGAGAAAGAGATGGAGAAAGGGGGAGAGAGAGAATAAGAGACACAGAGAATGAGAAAAAGAATGAGAAAGAGAGAATAAGATAGAAGAAGAGAATGAGAGAAAGAATAAGACAGATAGAAAGAGAGAAAATGAGAAAAGTGAGAGAGAAAGATGGAGAGGGAGGGGAGAGAGAGAGAAAGACAGTGAAAGAGAGGATGAGAAAAAGAATGAGGGAGAGAATAAGACAGAGAAAGAGAGAATGAGAAAAAAGAGAGAGAGATGGAGAGGGAGGGAGAGAGAGGGAGAAAGAATGAGAAAAAGAGAGAATGAGAGAGAGAGACAGACAGAGAGAAAGATTGATAAACGAGCAATCCAGTGGACGAGATCTTGGCACTCTCTCTCTATATATATGTATAGATGACTTGGACGAATTCTTGGGAGACAGGTGACAGGTATTCTTCCAAGTGAATGGACCAACTATCAATTTGTCACTCACTTCCTTCCTGCATTTCTCTCCCAAATATATTCTTTGTATTTCCGGACAGAAGGCAGAGTGAAGAGTTTCTGCAACTGATAAATGTCTTTAGAAAGAGTTGCCGAGTGATGCCATTCTAACAAAGGCCCCCTTTTTAATATATATATAAAAAAGACTGATAAATTGGCTCAATGAAATGCACAGGGTTGCCGAGTGCCGTAAAAGCTTTTTGCAATGCAGGAGTGAGAGGGGGGAAAAAATCCACCCTCCTTATCTGTAGCTAATCCAACAGCATAAAATGAATTTTTAAGTGCTTTTCGGGACATTCTTGAAACATAAAACGCTTCTTTTGGCTTTGTGCTATCATTCCGGTTTCTTTCTAGCAGAGTTGTCTGTTCCTTCCTGTGTGTCCTCCTTCTCAAAGTAAACAAAGATCGGATTTGGACTTTTTTTTCCAAAAGAACTGTGGCAAAATATCCGGCGTTTTTACTGCTTTAAGAGGCTCTTCTGGCTGTGAAATGTACCCCAATTTCCCTATCTGCTTCAGGGGTGGGTTGCTCCGGCATTACTGCCAGTTCAGTGCGCGCAAAAATTTTGCACACACACTCGCTTCACTTGCACGGATGCCTGAGGCACGCTCAGCATGCATGCACATATGCACAAAACCCAAAACATTTTAAAAAGGGAAAAAATAAAATGTGTGCAATTACAATTGTTCTGCGCATGTGCAGAACTGGAAATCAAGATGGCGGCCTCGTAGAAGAACCGGTTTGAGGGCGTGGCAGGCCTGGGTCGCTGCCGGTTCCACCAAATCAGCCGAACCAGTCCAAACCGGTAGGAATCCCCCTCTTATCTGCTTTCTCTGGGATTGATCATTCAGCAAGACTCAAGAAATTGGAAGAACGGTGGCAGAACTGGGTATGTCTAGTTAATGAAAAGAAGGACTAGGGGCAATGGTGGGATTCAAATCATTTAACAACTGGTTCTCTGCCCTAATGACCAGCTGGGTAGGTGGGGCTCGGTGGTCATGTGACCGTGTGGGCATGGCCAACTCAATGTCACTCAGGTCGATGGGCACTTCGCCTTAACGGTTACAATGGAACAAGGGTTAATCAGAGAGGCAGTTTCTGTAAGCAGGGCAATAAAGATTAGGCTAGAAATAACACCAAAATGTTTCCTTCCTTCCTTCCTGCCTTCCTTACAGGATTAGCCCTGTAAAGTGGAAAATATTTCTTCCAACAACCGGTTCTCTGAACTGCTTAGAAAGTTAACAATCGGTTCTCCCATATAGGTGTGAATCGGCTAAATCACACCACTGACTAGGGGTTACAGGATAGCACTTTTCCAATATTTGGGGAGCTGACACAAAGAAGAGGAGGTTAACCTATTCTCCAAAGCACCCAAAGGCAGCACAAGAAGCAATGGGTGGAAACTAATCAAGGAGAGAAACAACCTAGAACAAAGGAGAAACTTCCTGACAGTGGAATAGAATATGGAATGGAATAGAATAGAATATGGCATGGCATGGCATGGCATGGCATGGCATG